TAGTTCCAATACAAACTAACTCAATCTTAACCACGTGTCACTACAGCGAGTAAGTTTTGTAGCATAATTTTTTACAGTAAAACATGATAGAAATCACGACTGTTAATTCCAATAGAAACTAACTCGACCTTAACCACTCACTGTGTTACCACAATAGACGGTAAGTTTTGTAACATAATTTTTTACAGTAAAACATGATAGAAATCATGACTGTTAATTCCAATAAAACTAATTCAACCACGTGTCGCTACAGCTAGTAAGTTTTGTAACATAATTTTTACAGTAAAACATGAGAAGTACGACTGTTAACTCCCAATACAAACTATACCCTGTAGTTTGTAAGTTTTGTAACATGATGTTGTTTATAGTGATAGAAATTACGACAGTTAATTTCAATATAAACTAACTCAACCTTAATCACGCACTGTGTGTTACCGCAACAGTCGGTAAGTTTTATAACGTAATGTCAACAGTTAATTCCAATACAAACTAACTCAACCTTAACCACGTGTCACTACAGCAAGTAAGATTTGTAACATAATTTTTTGCAGTAAAATATAATAGAAATCACGACTGTTAATTCCAATTCAACTAACTCAACCCTAACCACTCACTGTGTTACCTCAACAGTCGGTAAGTTTTGTAACATAATTTTTTACAGTAAAACATGATAGAAATCACGACTGTTAATACCAATACAAACTAATCAACACTAACCACTCACTGTATGTTACCTCAACTGTCGATAAGTTTTGTACCATATTTTTTTACAGTAAATCATGATAGATACACGACTGTTAATTCCAATACAAACTAACTCAATCTTAACCACGTGTCACTACAGAGAGTAAGTTTTGTAGCATAATTTTTTACAGTAAAACTTGGTAGAAATCACGACTGTTAATTCCAATACAAACTAACTCAACCTTAACCACGTTTCATTACAGCGCGTAAGTTTTGTAACATAATTTTTACAATAAAACATGATAGAAGTACGACTGTTAATTCCCAATACAAACTATACCACATACTGTGTGTTACCGCTATAGTTTGTAAGTTTTGTAACATGATATTGTTTATGGTGATAGAAATTACGACAGTTAATTTCAATACAAACTAACCTTAACCACGCACTGTGTGTTACCGCAATAGTCAGTAAGTTTTGTAACCTAATGTCAACAGTTAATTCCAACACAAACTAATTCAACCTTAACCACGTTCTGTGTGTTATCACGATAGTCGGTAGGTTTTATAACATAATTTTCGCAGTAAATTAGAAATTTCTATAGTTCTAATGCAATAATTAATTTATGTTAACCCATGATAGACGGTATAAATTAGTTATTAAATATTGTAGCCTTTAATTATTATTATATATTTATTATTTTTTAATATTAAGATTTAAAAAAGAATTTCCTAATTGGACAAGTGACAATCACGACATTGATCAATTAATTCAACAAACACATTTTAATGCAAAAAGATTTAAAGACATTATCGAATGGATACCTTTCAATAAATTTACAAACATCAAGTACCTTGCTAAAGGAGGCTTTGGCACTGTTTTTAAAGCAGTTTGGAATGATGGATATATTATAGGACTTGATATTAATAAGGATAAATGGATAAGAAAGCCACAAATGAATATTTGTTTAAAAAGCCTTAATATTTCTAAAAACATGAACCGAGAATTTTTAAAAGAAGTATGTATCATGAAATTTATCATTATAACCGACATTATAAATTTAAAGTTTATTTGTCTGGTTATTAATTTAGGTTGAAAATAAACATAAACATAGAGGCTATTCAGTAATTGAAATTTATGGCATAACTAAGAACCCAAATGATCATAATTATATGATGGTTATGCAGTATGCAAAGCAAGGAAGTCTTCGAAAATTATTAGATAGAAAATATAATGACCTAGATTGGATTTCTAAAATAGCTATTTTAATTTGCATAGCTGATGGACTTAATACAATTCATGAAGCCAACATAGTGCATAGAAATCTTCATTCTGGAAATATAGTTTGTGAATATATGTGTACCTCTTACATTACTGATGTTGGTTTATGTAGGCCAGTGTCTCAGTATTCAATTTCTAATGAGATTTTTGGTGTAATTCCATATATTGCACTGGAAGTGTTGTATTATAAACAATATATTAAAGAATCCGATATTTATTCTTTTGGAATGATCATGTCAGAGGTTTTTACTGGATATCCTCCATATCATGATATTCCACATGATGATAATCTAATATTAAATATTTGTCAAGGCTATAGGCCTAAAATTAGATGCAATGTTCCACAATTACTTTTGGATGTAATGAACAAATGCTTAAACGCTATACCTCAGAACCGACCAACCGCTAAAGAATTAGCTAATACACTGAATCAGGTTTATAAAGATTTGAAAGATGAAAAAGGCAAATTATATCAACAAGTCAAAGAGATTAAATGTTCAAATAAAAAATTGGAACGACTCAATTATCAAACACACAAACAAGCTATTTATATAAGCCGATTTTTGAATATTCAAAAACTTCCTGAACCCATAAATGCGGATGGGATTGACATTGAGGTAATAGAATTTCTAAAAAATACATCTCTACAATGGATTCAATTCAATGATCTAGAAATTATTGAAGAAATTGGAAAAGGCGGGTTTGCAACCGTATACCTTGCCATGTGTAAATTAAATGGATCAACACAAAATGTTGCGCTTAAATTTCTTCAAAATTCACAAAATAACTCTGAGATGTTAAAAGAGGTAGATATTCGATACATAAATTTAATAATATCCTATACTTTATTTTATTAATATGTTGATTGCATTTGTAGCTAAAGGCGTATTATAATATTTGGTGTAAAGAACCTACATTTTTACAATGCTATGGAATTTCAAAAGATGTTAAAACCATTAATTGCTATATTTTAGTTATGTAATACGCACTAAAGGGCTCTTTGAAACAAAATATTCGTAAAGTTGCACTATTGGAGTGGAAAGATAAATTAGATTTACTATCATATATTGCACTTGATCTTAAAATGATGCATTCTCATGAATTTATTCATCGTGATTTGCATAGTGGAAACATATTGCAGAATAACTTTTATAATGCATATATTGGTGACTTAGGACTTGCAGAAACTGTTAATCAAGCATTAGCTAAATCAGATGGAATTTACGGTGTTTTTCCATATATAGAACCAGAGGTTATACGCAGAAAAGGAATGAATTAAAGATCATAAACTCTCGGGCAGTTAACACAAATGGAATTATCAATGATGATAACAAAATTATAGAAAGTCAAGAAGATAACATACCTATCGAATGTATGTTAAAGATAGATGAAGTTCAGAGTGAAACGTAGTACTGCACTGCACAGGAAAATATAGAAAATATACAAGATCGGAAAAGACCTTCGAGATTTTAACATTTATAATATTGTTTGTATGGTGTTATTTCAGTATATTGTTGTCATTATTTTCAAAATCTTATCTACGTCTAAATGTATAAAAGAATGTGAAAATGAGGTTCTTGCTGTTTATTTTAATAAATACGTGTTTACTGTTCATAAAACTGTCATATTTTGGTTCAATGTCTAATGACTTGATTAGTGGCTCATCATATTTGCCCATTTCATAATAGAACAATTTTCCATATTTATGTTGCCGTCACGATCGTTTTTACCTATTTGTTCGTTCCAATTGATTATTTCCATCGATTTCTAATGAATTTTCTCGAATTATAATCCTTCGCATTTTATCATCTCTTTATAAATTAATTCACAATTTTCCAATGCAATTAATGATACCTTATGAAACGTTTCGTTGATCAATTTCTGGCGAAATTTATTAATGATGATACTGATTAAACATATGTTCATTATTTTCTTTCATAATGCAACAGTGTAAACAAAATCAGTTCATTGACTTAATTACTCATTTTTAACTGCACCCTTTGACACATTTACACAATATTACCCGAAGACGCATTATTTCCAGGAAATATCTGATTTGCTGACGGAGAAAACCAATAAGAAAACTTTGTTATAATGTAATAACATTAGTTCGAAAATATTTAAAAAGTTTCTGCACATTCAAATTCATTATAACAGAGTTCATTATAAAGAAAGTCTATTATCTTATTAATAGGGATGGCAAATGGTTTAAAACCGATCTTAAAAATCATGTTTGTTTGGTTTAAATTTGTTAAAAAATTTAATACATTATGACGTAATCATGATTCGACTGCGTATTTTTTTTTAAAAAAAAATTGAAGAAATTTCTTCAAAACAAATGCTGTCAAAAGAAATCCATTTAAACCTTACAAAAGTTGCCGAACCTGATAAACATGATCGAACAACACCTCACCAAAAATATAATTATTGCGAAGAAGACTATTGATTCAGTTGACCAATTAAACGGTCATTCATTAAAAAAAAACTTAACTGTTAGATCTTCAAAATGGCTATTATAAATAGATATGTACAGTACTAACATTAATAAAATACAACTACCTGAAAGCATAGTTTCTCCCCTAAATTGTTTTTAAACACAATTAGCAACCATAATAAATAATAAATAAATTACATGTGAAATACTTACATTTGACACCAATATTTGGCTTTAGATTCATCCATTTTGACACCAACGCCATTTAGATAACAAAAACTAAGTGTAAACATGCCGTTAACATCGCCCTTGTCAGCAGACTTTTGAAAGTAAGCAAATGGGGATTTAAATATTGAACAAGATGGCATTTATGGAATTTTACCGTATATAGCTCCGGAAGTTTTGAATGGAGAACCATACACTATAGCATCTGATATTTACTCATTTGGCATAATTATGTGGGAAATTTCAACTGGAAACCTTAATTTAGATGATCGAAAACATGATAATTGTCTTATACGAGAAATATTGTGTAATGATCTCCGTCCAAAATTTTCAAAAGAAATACCTCATATTTACATCCATTTGGCAAATTTATGCATGAATGTAAACCCTTCTAAACGCCCATCAGCATATCAGCTTCATAAACACTTCGATAATTGGTTAAATGATGAGCTCTATGCAGACATTTTTAACAGTGCAGATGAAAAAAGGGTAAACAAAGATGAATCCAATTCGAATATCAGAATAAATGTAACAAGCACAACAAGCACAACACGTCAGCTAGAAGATTTGAACATTGATAAAAATAGATCTGCTATTTCACAATTAAGTGACTATAACTTATTTGATGTAAAAGAATTCAAGTCGTCCATAGGAAATTTCGCAAACACCACAAATCATTATACGTAAATTTATGAAAAAAACATGTAACATTTCTTTAATCCACTATAAATTTTAGACATTTATTCTTTAACATTAGATTCTCATTATGTAAAGTTTGATGATTAATAATAAAATTAAAAGGTCGTTAACATTGCTACACTTTGTTCATTATAGAAATTTTGATATGAATTTGTGATTTTCAGAATTGAGGCTGTTCAAAATTGATTATTTCAAATTATTTTGATGTTAACATTAACATTTTGTACTCAAGCATGAAGAAGGGATTTAAGCAAACCTAATGATATCGATATATGTCACCGAACTCTCATTGGTCACCTTTAATCCTTTGTTGTGATTGTCCTGGGAACATCTGACCGGGAGGACAACGTTAAACAACTTTGAACGGCCTGAACTACTGATTTTTAATTTGAAAAAGTAAATGAAGAGGAATCGTAATTTATAGTGATTTGGAAATATAAAAGGATGAATCAAGTTAATTTAAATAATAATAATAATAAAATCAATGTCGCAGCTGATGCTGAAAACGGCTGATGCTGAAATTTTGATTATTTTATTATTAAATTTTTACAATTTTTTGGGGTGCATTTTTTTTAGTCTTCATATAATAGTTTGAGTAGAGTTTAGGGTCAGGGTTTATTGATTAAAGTGTATAGATGGGTTTTAGTAGGTTTTATAGTTCTAAACAGAGACCCCAAATTTTCAGCATCAGCTGCGACAATTATTATGTTAGGCGATTTTTAACTTCTGTTGGGCGAATAATTGCCATTAAATTAGAAAATTATTAAATCCTTCAATTGTTGGGAAAAGTATTTAATATTAGGCCAGGGAATTTTAAAATTCTCAAATCGTTAGGTAAAAAATTATATGTTAGGTCAGATGGTTTTTAAAATTCTAAATTGTTGAACGAAGAATCAATAGTAAGTTTGGTGATTTTTTATAACGATTATAATGCAACACTTTTAATTTGAAGTTGAATATATACTATCATATTGTCGCAAATTAACGCGCAGGGATGAAATTACAAATTTTGGCCTAAATTAAGTTTAATTCGGGCCAAACCTCTAACGCCCATGCCTTTATTTCGTGACAATACGGTAAGTAAATTTTGAATTAATTATTAGAAATTCTTTATTAATTTGAGCGGATTTAAAATTTTATTTCGACTTGTGTATAATTAGAATTAACTTAAGCTTATTCTAAAATCACAAAGAATCTATATATTCTAATATACATTTACATGAATTATAATTGTTTAAGCACTATTTAATAATAAATTACATAATGCATATCTTGATAAATATTTTTTTTATCCAGCTCTTTACAGTGAAACCCTTGCTAATGCAGATTAAACATCGCTCATATTATTGTAATACAATTTTTGTGAAAGTTTTTTTTTTTATTTGAAAATCTCATAAATGATAAAGCTCATAAAATTTTATTTATGTAATATGGCATAATTATGGGTATTATTAGTGATGTGCCATTTATATGATACCTGAAAAATTTTAGCGTACAATACAGTACGTTACGTATAGTTCTTTTCTGAGGTATTCAGTAAAGTAGTACTGTACGGCAGTATAGATTCAGACAGACGCACGAAAATTATACTAAATTTTGATCGTACGTACGGTTAATACATTAAACATCACTTTCAAATTTTCGTCAATAAATAATAATTGACATACGTACAGTACGTGCGTGAGTTTAAATTTTGTACCGATTAAAATGTAACGTACAAACATAAATCTAAAGTATGTATTTTTTTAAAAAATATTTATTGATTTTTTATTATTTTCTTTGCAAAATGGCTTGGTCATTCACTTTTTTTCGTTACAACCCCTTGAATAAATTGTTAACAGCTATGTGAATAGTCGAATGGCCGAAAAAAAATGAAAGAAGCATAATTGATTATTCAAAATATGATCGCTGTTTAGCTGTTTTAAAAACTCACAAAAACCAAGGTTCTTAATACCTTTAAATTAGTTAAAATTGGAGTTATCGATGAGTTGAATATTCAGTTTGGATAAACATGCTGTGACTATCCTATTGAAGATTTTATGAAATACGGTATCTCACAAACTCAACTAAATAAGCCCTTTTCGAAATATCAAGAAACATCTAATAAGAAAGTGATTAAAATACAAAAAATAATGACAATCACTGTAATATGAAATAAAACCCTTCTTGTTGTAAAAACAATGCTTTTCGTACTTTCCAATTTAGTTGAGTCGTATTCTGTTAAGCATTCTTATATTTCAAAATATTTTGTATTAATCTAGGTTTTCAACTTCATTAAAATGTTTTTTGTTGCTTAAAGCAATTTTAATAGTGCAATAGTGTAGTGTTAATAACGTAAATGACATATTTAATCAATAGGGAGTTTCAAAGTTAACAAATAAGTGGCGCATTTTGAAATTAAATGAGAGTTTGAAAAATCTTATTTGTTTTTCAAGATTTTAAAATCGGAAAGTGAAATGGGAGTGTTTGGAGATCCTCATTTCATGAAATCGGAAAATTTTTATATTACTTCGTAAAAAATTAATAAATAAAAAGTAAAACTTTCATTCAAATTGAAGATAAGATCAGATTGCTGGATCACGTATTTCAAAATAAATACGTCATTAATTTCAATTAAAATTGGATTTCCGCATTTTAACTTTGAAACCCCCTAATATATAATTTGTATGTTTATTTTTTCTTTTTTTAATTCGTAATTTATTATTGAAACGATACCTTACCTGTTACAATTTTAACATTATGCCAATTTTTAATTGACGGAAATTTGAAAGTGACGTCTAACAAATATAGGCTTGCGAAATTCGATTTTTATAAGTAAACCTTTTAATGGTTGGGATCAAAGCTAGTAAAAAAAGTAATTTGGTTTGAAAAATTTTCTTCCGTCCTAATTAGCGAATTCGTACTTTACTACTTTATCCGGCAAACTCATATGATCATAAAAATTTTCTTTTTGTTATTTTTTTCATTTGTTACGATGTAATTATGTCTATTCCAATATTCAAAATTAAAACTCTGCGAGAGACTCCCTACCAATCATGATCATAAATTGCCGGATAATACCAATATTAAATTTATACAATATGGGCAAAAATTGTCGAATAACGGTAATATGGCAAATAAGCACGTGCCGCTTTGCGGCACGTGTAGCCAATCATTTGTCAAATTACCGTATTCGACAATATTGTATACGTACGCGGCACATCACCATGTATTATGATATTTTCTAATATGGATAGTATGCACGTATATACCGTGATCAGCGCTGTACTGTAATATTCCATCTAATAATTAACTTTTAGCAAAACATTCCTGGTTGCTTACTTTGTTTGGTTGATCGATTAATACTGCGAAATTAAGGTATAACATAAATACAGTAAAATAGAACTTTTTTTACTTATCGTCATAATTATTTGTATTTGTATCTCTAAAAAATAAATTATATTTTTATAAAGTGCAACAACTAGAAAAAGATGCACACGCTAGTTTCTATAATTCAAATTTATTAATTTAGATTTTATATAAGATATAGATTTTATAATACTTACAAATAATTAATACTAATGAATAGTAAAAATTCATAAAGTTAACAAGCTGGTGATTATTTATTTTCAATTCTAATTTGTATTAATTATATGAGTGACATAATGGTCACCGATTCATCACTCATACCAATTTTATATAAGCAAATGATAAATATTTATTAAATGAGATATTTGAAATAAATTATTTAAATTTATGAATAGATAAAGCTTCTTATTTTATTCAAATTAATTTATAATTATGAAAACCATTAATTTATCTGAACTATTTATATTATCATTTACGCAATAAAACTTGATTTCTAATTATTAAAATCAGGCAGAGAAGCTGCCTTCATGTTCATATTCAAGTTATAATAAATAAATAAAGCTAACTAGAAAAATTTAAAATTGAACATTTATAAATAAGTTATAAAGGTCTAAAATAAATACGAATAAAATATTCAATAAATAAACTTTAAAAGATAAAAGAATATCTTAAAAATAAATTCAAAAAAAAATAAAATAAAAATTTTCTATAAATAATGTAAAAATTATTTAAGCTCATATAACTATTTATTTTGACATTTTACTATATCACAAAAATTATTTAAGCACTACAACACCAACAATTAGAATCTCCTGGAGGAGGAGGGTTGGCTTCACATTGAACATCAGAAGTACATACAGCTGCAAAACTAGGAGAAGCAAAAGTCTGACATACAGAAGCATAAAGGCAGCTATCATAACACAGAACACATACGCCATTAAAAAAGTGTTCAACACCAGAACCAGGGGGAGTATTGCCATTAGGACAATCAGAATCTTGTTTGCATGGTTTATGTGTGTTCATAGGTTTTTTAGCTGGGATTGTTGTTGATAGCCTTTTAGATTTAGTTGTGATTGTTGGTGGTGGCCCATGAGTTGTCTTACCAGTTGCTGGTGGAGTTGCTATTGTTGATGTTTGCGGCACTGGACCACTACAACACCAACAATTAGAATCTCCTGGAGCAGGAGGAGGGTTGACTTGACATTGGAAATCAGAAGCACATACAGCTGCTAAACCAGGAGTAGCAAAAGTCTGACATTATCTTAATAGATTCGTAAGATTACCCTTTATTTATTTAAATTCCTAAATTCAAAATACAACTTATTCATAATATCTTAATTTAAGCATTTAAATAAAATTCTAATTTATTGGTTTATCAAATAAATAACTTACTTAATAATTATTTCGAATTGCTGAATAGAAATATGGTTCAATTGATCGTTTTACTGTTATTTTTATCTTTGCAAATTTTAGCTACGTAATTTTCGCTAATTCATTACGAAAATACAAAAATCTATATCTTAAAAACTTTATCATTTTGACATGAAATTGTTCAGCCTGCCACATACATACAATATGTTACATTAACATTATTTTTTGTACTTTAAACAAAGTTTGCCCCTAAAATTTTTCTAGCCAATTAAATTTAAGGGTCTGGTGTAACGCAATTCATTGCCTTAAATTTAAAATGCCAAGTAATGTAGTACGTAAAAAAACATCTGAAATCTGATACACTGTTTTTGGACCAAGATCAGTACATACAAAAAGTTATGGCAAAAATACCAGAAGAATGGCTTGAGAAATCTATTTCCGAAGGACATATTAATTATATCGAATATAGTAAATTTACAGACCCAATGTGATTGGCATCGGAGGTTTTGGAAAGGTTCTTAAATACGAGTGGAGAGACAGTGAATTAACGGTCGCTCTTAAATGTCTTAAAGTTGATACAAGTGTAGATGAAAAGGCTATTACAGATTTTATTAATGAGGTATTGTCTGTTAAATTTAATAACGTCCTACTTTAAAATATTAAATTTTTATAATTCATATAATTAGCTTAAACTATTACGAAGAGCTTCTAACCATCCAAACGTTATTTCATTCTATGGAGTGACGAAAGATAAGCAAGAAATAAGTTTTCAAATAATAATAAGCTAAACTAACAATAATATTTATCATATCTAATATATAGATAACGACGGATATTATAATATGGTTTTACAATACGCTGATAACGGAACATTCCGAGATTACTTAATCAAATATTGCAAAATTACAATGGACAGATAAACTACGCATTGCTAGGGAAATAGCACTCGGACTTTTATTTTTACATGATAATAATATTGTTCATAGGGATCTAGTAAGTATAGTACTGTTGCATCTAAAGTAGCGATTTATCTAAAGTAGCCACTTTAGATATATAAAGTAGCGCCTGACTAAAATTAGGCCCCTGAAATTAGATCTTCATGCATGCACTAAATCGTAATTCTAGCCCAGGGCTACTTTAGATAGGGTGGCTACTTTAGATACAACATAACTTCATCAATATGCTTTTGGTTTTGTGCTAAATATGTACAAATATGCATGCAGACAGGCGTGAAAATTTTTCGAAATTACGTTTTTGATAGGTAATATAAGTTAACTAATGAGCTAATCAAAAATGTAACTATAGTCGTAACTTTTGTATCACTTTGACCAAACATTAAATGTCCTCCGTTACGCTCCGGACAAATTAAACCATCTATTTTATTTAAAACATGAATTTTTTTTCCTTCTTTAAGAAAAAAGACCCTAAACAACTTTATGAACTTGGTAACAAATATCAACTTGGAATTGGTGCTAAGAAAGATGAAAAGAAAGCTTTTGAATATTTTATGAAATCAGCCGAGTTAGGAGATTCGGGTGCGATGCATGCAGTTGGTGAATGTTATCATTATGGAATTGGAGTAGAATTAAATTACCAGAAATCATTTGAGCATTATAATCGATCGGCTGATTTAGATAATGCTGATGCAATATGTAGTGTTGGTTTTTGTTATGCAAGTGGAAGAGGAGTTGATCATGATCAAAATAAAGCATTTGAATATTATGAAAAAGCTGCTAATATGGGTTCTAAAACAGCAATGAGTAATGTCGCTCGACGTTATCGTAACGGTGACGGCATAAAGAGAGATATTCAGAAGGCAAATTATTGGTTCACAGAATATAGAAATCTTTTGAAAACTAATAAATCGCCTGATCATATCAATCCTGAACTTAAGAAAATATTAGACGATGAGAGATTCAAATTGTCTTGGATTGATTATAATGAGTTCAAAGTCAAAGCAGAATGGGGAAAAGGAGGATTCGCAACCGTATATTGGGCAAATTGGTTAGACAGTATTAATAATTCATGGTGGGATGTTGCACTTAAAGTAATTCATAATTCAAATGAAAATGCGCAAGAATTTATCCAAGAATTGAATAATTACTGTGAAATTGGTTACAAAAATCCCTCATTCTTGAATTGTTTTGGGGTATCAATGAATAATTATGGTAATTATATTATTGTTTTGCAGATTGCACCAAAGGGTTCGTTACGAAAAAATCTTGTGGAAGTATCACGATTGGAATGGAAAGATAAATTGAATATCTTGTACTGTATAGCTTTGGATCTTGTGTCGATTCATTCGCAAGAACTCGTTCACAGAGATTTACACAGCGGAAACATTTTGCAAGAAAATAATCTGCAAATTGCATATATTACAGATCTTGGACTTTCTAAAAAAGTGAAGGAAGGAAAAATTTGTGGAATTCTACCATATATAGCACCTGAAGTTTTGATGGGTCAACCGTATACTCAAGCATCAGATATTTACAGTCTTGGAGTTATTGCAACAGAGATTTCGACCGGACAAAGAGCATTTGATGGAATTCCGTTTGATGAACATCTTGAATTTAGAATTATCGGTGGATCAAGACCTAAATGTTTAGGACCCGATTGTTATATTAAATTAGTTATGAAATGTATGGATAAAGATTTTGTTAAACGACCTACTGCAGCAGAAATTATTGAAATAATCACAGGTTGGTTAGATAAAATGGATCAGGAAAATGATAATGAAATAAAAAAACAATTTTTGGAAGCTAATAAGGTTAAACAAGAACCGATTAGACAAATGCATCCACAAGACATATACACTAGTAAGATACATGAGACGAAAAAATGGTCCGAATATATTAGTAAACCGATTAGTGAAATAGAGATTTCGAGCAAATTCTCGAATTTAGAATTAAATTAAATTAGGTGAGACCCGTTCATTTCACTAACGGTTAAAACAGTACGAGGCAACTATGGGATTAAATTAATAGCATTTTTGTTTTGAAATAAGTGATTTATAAATTCAATTTTTTTAAATAAGGCTTTCTTTTTTAAAGCATTGACGTTTGATCCCGAAACTAAAAATATTGCCTCTAATTGGTCAATTTTAATTGGCAGAGAAAAAAAAAGACGGAGCTATACAAATTCGAATTTATTATATATTACATAAAAAAAAATTAATTGATCGCATTAATTTATATCAAAGCTATTAAATTTCTAATGTGAAATTTACTTATAACCTTTCATTCTATACTAATTTACATTAGTATTACTTTGTAAAATCTCATTGAATAATTTGAAGAACCAGATTCCTGTTTTAATTTAATCTATCAATAAATTTTTTATATTTTTCTTAGTAATAATTACATTTTTGACAAGTGTTGTTCGATCACGTTTATTAGATTCAGCACTTTTGTAAAGGTTACCCGGATTTTGTTAACAGAATCTTCCACGAACATGAATCTTTGATTTATATGATTTTTCATCATAGTATTAATAATGCTGATCAAACATCAATGAGGCACGAAGAGATTGAGTTGATCGTTAATGAAGTTATGGCAAAAACAAGAAGTAATCAAGATAAGAAATCTTGTAAAGGAAAATCGAAAGTAGTGAGATGTTATAACTGTCAAGAAGAGGGACATATAACAAGTAAATGTCCAAACAGGAAACAAGAAAGTTCCAGAAATAGCGAAGAATCTAACAAGATTATAGGTGCTGATGTGCGTATGGTTGAACTTTCAGAAGGAGCGTTGAATAAAGAAGATGGTTATCTTCAAATTAACATGGTCGATGCAGCAGATCTGTTTGACATTAGAGCATTAAAAAAGCGAAAGTTGATTGAAGATCCATTACAGCTAACTTCAAAAAAGAGTAAAGTACAAGGATCAACAATCATAAATACTTTACCTAAGAAGAACGAAAATGTAACAATGTACATTCCTTTATCGGAATTAACGGATGAATTTGATGTTTTAAAAACAATGGCTGATTTAGAAGTTACGATAAAGTTGGGCAATTATTCAAGATATCGCCAAAGGCAAGAACGGAAGTCTTAAAAGCCCTAACAAGGAAGAAAAAGGAAAACGATGTTACTGGAAAAAATGCTATGTTGCGAATTGTACAAAGGATTCAATATGAACACAAATATGATAATGAAATTGTACCTTTTCGTCCCGTATTGATCAATGATGAAATTATTCATGCTCCAATCGATCCTGGATCTCGTGTGAATTTAATTCACAAAGATTTCGCTTTAAAAAAGGGTTTATCTTGGAAATCTGTTTCTAGTAAAGGAAGGATGGCCGATAATCGTATCAGTGCCTTTATTGGTCTTATTTCTAATATTAAAGTTGAAATGGACGGAATAATTGTTAGTCAAGAATTTTATGTCATGGAGGATGCTAGTTTCAAAATTTTGTTGGGTATGCCGTGGATAGCTAAAGCCCGGTGTGATCTTCAGTGGAAGAGAAATGAATACTGGTGTACCTTATCAAAGTGGTGTCTTTCGTTGTGTCGCAAGTCCCAAATAGCTGGATAATAGAAGAGAATGAGGAAATAAATGGGTACGAAGAATATGAAAGTGATAACGATGAGAGTGTAATGACTATCAGGAAGGTTGATGTAGAAATTGATGAAATCGACGATTTTGAAAGCGTATTAAATGGAGCAAAAAATAATCAACAAATTATTAAAAGGAATGTCGATCCGATAGATGAAAATGAGTTAGTTGATCAAAGCTATGAAGGTCGAGTGATCTATTGGAATACTGACACTGAAGGAAATAATGGATTAGTCAAAGATTTAAATTCATTTGTGGTAATGAGGTTAACTATGTAAAATTGTAATATTTTGAATATTGGACCTAACTTAACGAATGAACAAAGAACAATAATAATAGAGAAGTTAATAAAAGAAACGCCGGATACGTTTGCTTTTAACATGTCTGAGTGAAAAGCCTGTCAACGAAGTGACAGGGCGATCATTATTGCGAGATCAGATGACTTTATGACCGATCACGAACAGGTTTTTGTTATGTATCCTTTTATGGTTATTTTTTGATTATTGTCGTGAGATTTTGTAACTTGTTTTTTACAGGTAATTTTAGATTGCATATGATTTTGATATTCACATGGTTATACCAGTACGATCACGTTTCTTGTGTAACATGAAATGTGGTAGGGATGGTTTCCTTCAACTTT